CGTTAACCGAATTGAAGATCCTTATGGAAGGCAGTTCGTTAATCGAAATTACGTTAACCGAGGTGTTCGTTAAACGAGGGGTCACTGTAATGTTCAGATTTGCTTGAGGAATTCAAGATCAATGAGGCGAAGGTTGGTGAATATCCAAAGTACTCTAAGTGAGGAAACCTGTGTTCCTTTTACTAAGGATAAAATTCTGAATGCTGTAAAGAAAGGGATGTCTAGTGCTCCTGGCAGGGATGGTCTAACTTATGAAGTTATAAATTATCTTAGAAGTATGGAGGACAACCCAATTCTAGATCTCTTAATTTGTCATGTGAAAATGAAAGACTGCCAGTGAAATGGAAAATGGCACTCAATGTTCCTGTGCCTAAGGGTGATAGTGAATATAGACCCATATCCTTAACATCTTGTCTATCTAAAATGATGGAGCGAATGGTATTAAATAGATTATTGTATAAAATTGATGGTTTCTTGTATAGTAATTTGTTTAGATTTTTAAAGGGTAAAAGCACTACAGATTGTGTGATTAAATGTCTTAGTAATGCTAATGTCAACTGTAGACTGTTTGTAGACCTTAACAGTGCCTTTGATAAGGCAAGTAAGGAAGTGATCTTAGAAAGTCTTGTAAGTAAAGGCATAAAAGGGAAATTATTGATGTGGATTACAGATTACTTAACTAACAGGAAAGCGAGAGTCTGGTTTCAAGGTCATGAATCAGAAGAAAAGAGTCTAGGGTTGGGTACCCCACAAGGTGGCATTCTTAGCCCTATGCTTTTCAATATTCTTATGGACAGAATAGCTAGTTACAAATTCCAGGGCGAGTCCCAAGTAATCATTTATGCTGATGACATTCTGATCTGATGTAAGAATGAGGAAGATATGTCTAGGGTCATTGATCAGCTGCAGTATCTTTGTCTCTCCTTGGGACTGGTCATTAATTAAAATAAAACCAAATTTCAGTCAAGGGCAGCAAATGGAAAAGAATTTTGGCTAAATGGAATAAAATTGCAAAAAGTATCCAGTTACAAATATCTGGGAATGTTTGAGGGTATAAATAAAAATGTTAAGGATCATATTACTTATGTCAAAAATATATGTACAGCTCGGCTAAAACCTCTGAAAGTTTTGTCAAATAGAGCAAATGGTGTTGGTATACCAGTTTTAAGATCTATGTACTTAAGTACAGTTAGTGGTATCATTGATTATTCAGCTCCAGTTCTAGCTTCTTACTCAGGAAAAGATCTTAGGCCACTAGAGCTTATTCAGAATGAAGCAATGAGGATTGTGCTTGGTTGTCCAAGGACAACAAGAATAGAGATTATGAGGATGGAGCTAAATGTCCCGAGCATAATACACAGAATTAGGGAGTTGACTGTCATTTCTACTCTAAGGCTTATTAGGCGTGGTGGTGGGTATCTGAAGTCTGCTGTTTATAAATTTACTAATGCAATTACTAGTAATTTTAAGATGAATACTTATACTAAAAAACTTTGTCAGATGTTGTGTGAATATAATATTGTAGATTTGTGTGTACCTTTGCCAAACAAAGTTTATTTGAAACCTTTGTTCATGGAGAGTGTATCTGTAAGAATGGATAAGCTAGAGTTTAAAGAAAAAAATTTAATCCTTTTGAGTTACGACAAATATTCCTTGAGAAAATATCTGAGAACCATAAGGAAAATGTTGCTCATATGTACTGTGATGGTTCAGTTAATGGGAATCGGGCCGGATGTGGCATTGTTATTAGGGAATTTTTTTAATATGGTATTAGTGTTGAAGAAAGAATACCAAAGAGAATTGGGGATAGAAGTTCCAGCACCACTGCTGAACTTTATGCTATATATGTGGGACTTAAGAATGCCTTTTTGAGGAAAAAGACAGTTTTGGGTTTGTTGACAGTCAACGTGCTCTATTTGCTCTAAATTCTAAAGTGCCCCTTGATGATGATTTAGTTTTAAAATGTAAGAAGTGTATTTAGGACATAAAATCACTTGGATATGATGTTAGTTTTATGTGGATTCCATTCCATTGTGGTATTTATATGAATGAGGTTGCTGATAATTTGGCCAAGCAAGGGTGTGGCAAAGAAATTGGAGAATACGATTGTATTTTGGGTATTAAAAGAATAAAATCTGGAATGGTAAAAATCCGACAGCAATGGGAAATGGACAATATTCGGAAAATTTTGAACAACGGTAGTAGTAGTTTGAAACATTATGTTCGAGTCTTGAATTCTACAGGTTCTACTTATGGTAAGGCTTCGGTTAAGTGTGATACATTTGTGATGAGACTTCGCTTAGGATACAAATATTATTGGCAATATATTAAAGGAACTGATGGCACTGTTTGTAAACTGTGTGGCTATGTAAAGTCTCATACATTATATCATTACATTGTGGAATGTAACTGTTTATCAGAATTTAGGGGTGATGGTATTACTGATATTACAGAGATGGTGTGTTATTTAATAAACAAAAATATGGTTAAGAATATTATGAAGAAAATCTGTAAGTTTAACATAAGATTGTAGATTTTATGCATATCTATTTGTTGTATACATATCTGATTTATGATTAGTAGAATGTTAAAGAGCTCTTGTTAAGACTAGTTTTGGGTGGGCTAGTTAGCATGCTAACCAGCTCCTTTTGATGTAATTGTCAACAAATCTTTTGAATTTGAATTTGATATGAAGGCAGGAGTCGACTCCATGCATGAATACACAAACTGTTCGGAGTGATGTTGGATTTTCCACTTTTTTTTATATTTCCGGTAAATAGAGGTGCGGTCCAGAGCACCCAAGACAGTCCGAAAAAAGCTAATTCCAATACATATATTGAAGTCAGATTTATAAAGGTTTTACTGTACAGTGGTCCCTCGGTTAACGAGATTTCGGTTAACAAGTTACCTTCCATAAGATTCTTAACTTCGGTTAACGAGCAATCCCTCGATTAACGAGTTTCTTACGAGCCGACCTCAACATGTTTTCGCTTGCATTTGGAGGGCCACCAGCTGTAGTATTAGTCCGCCAATACAGTAATCGGTTCTAGGCCTTAAATTCCTTACCATTTTAGTAAATATCAAGAAGTTTATACTATTCAATAATTTTACAAGTTTAATATTAAATTTTTTAGTCATTTTAACAATTATTGAACATAATTGAAGGTAAGGAAACTAGTTTAATGCGCGCCATCCAGCCTGTCAACACACCAAACAGGCGCCAGTCTCTCTGTCTTTTCAGTGAAGGTAACATCTTGCTTGAGACTCTCTTCAACTAAATGCCTTTTTTCTGTGTTTGCAAGCAAATTATTGGTAATTTTGAAATTTATTTCACATATTGACAACATGTAATGCAGTGCAGTGTTGATTTAAAGAAAATAATCTTGAATTACACCAAGAGAACTAAAATTTTATGGGTGAAATGGCGCCATGGGGTGACTTCTCTTCCACCCCAATGCCTTCTCTTCTCCCTTCTCCTCCACCCCCGTTCTAATTCCCATCATCATCATCATCATCATCATACAGGAGCCTTCTACATACACACCTCAAAGTAAGTGTACTTTTCTATCTTTTTTGTTGAATTTAGGCAATTTTTGGTGAGCTGGAACCAATTACCCAAAAACCCATTGAAACAATGGTTCCGGTTAACAAGTTTTTAGGTTAACGAGCAACCTTCTAGACGGATTGTGCTCGTTAACCGAGGGACCACTGTACTTAATTATTTTAACCCCTTAAATTCCAATACTGAGAGAAAAATATATTACAGTCAAAAAATTACTAAGGTGTGTAAAGCTTACATATTTGGCAGGTTCTGCCCAATTTTAAATTTTGTTGAAACTCTCAGTACAGGTACTCCTCAACATGCTGATTGCGAATATGTGGTCCATGAATTGGTAGGGTTTTCAAAATCCTTCATTTGTTGTGTCATATTTTCTCAACACAATTTTGTAGAGAAAATTTTTTGAGTGGTTGTGCTTAATTTTCAATAACTTCTAATATCCTGGAATGGTATACCTTATTCAATACTAAATCTAATGAGATACTACGTACTTTAATATTCAATTGAGCAAGAATCATCCTGACCATGAAGATAATAAGAAATGCTGTAAATTTTCTTCTTAGGCAACAACTCACATGCTCAGTACTTGTGACAGTTTACCTACAGTTATATATGAGGAAATATGAGAAGTGTAAAAGTAGGGAACGATACAAGGAAAGTACTATTTAGAGGACTCATCCATTCAAACTCCAAACTCATGGTAACTGAAGGCCAATCAATTTAAATCATGATTATGTAAAATATCGTCTTAATGTTTTCAAGTTGTCTCCCACTAGATGTTGGGTAAAAAAAAAAAAATTATATATATATATATATATATATATATATATATATATATATATATATATATAAATATATATATATATATATATATATATATATATATATATATATATATATATATATATATATATATATATAAGTAAAAAAAAAAATTCACAGAAATTTACTAAAAAGCAGTTGTTACCAATCATGTTAGTTTTCATGACAGAGCAGAAAAAGTCAGGGAGAAGCCCCCCACTTCTCCCTTCTCCAAAAGCGTGAATTTGTTTGTGACTCCAACGGTAAATATCTTATATTTAAAACTTTTTATTTCCACTCGTATCTTGAAAGTTAATGTTTTCAAGCAGTTATATCTTTACATACATTAAATTCAATATTAAAATGAGCAAGAACTGGGTATCCTTAACAGTTATATATGAATTTATTTGTGATATATCAATACCACTTGAACATTATGTATGAGCCAATGAGCATCAAGTGGGGGGCATAAACACGACTATACAGTGGCATAAACACTACTGCTGCTGAGATTCATTATGATTTTATATGAGACACTTCCAGTACACACTCTTTATAAAACTCTTACACACACAGTAGAGTTACTTAATGAACATAAGATAACTCAAATAAAAACTGTAAATATCACATCACCACAGACCATCAACAGCCAACAGGAGTCGAGCTGATGCGTCATTGTGAGCAGGAAGTGAACAACGAGGCCACCGCTTCAGAGACTCGGTGTTCCCAAGGTTGATGAGGTAAGGTCGAATCAGGTCACGTAACGAGTCATGTCGATTCTGAGGAAAGAATAAAGTTTTAAAGATATAAACAACGACAAGTGAATAAAGTGACCTAAATGAAACAAACAGCAAACTAAGTGACCCTAAATGAAACAAACAGCAAACTAAGTGACCCTAAATGAAACAAACAGCAAACTAAGTGACCCTAAATGAAACAAACAGCAAACTAAACTACAGTATAACATAGTGATGTATGACACAGCTAAAGTTTCAGTGATAAGTATGGATCATCACTCTAATAAAGCTAGGAAAGACATGAATGAAAATGAGCTTTGTACTGACAGCTGGACAAGGCATACAATTACTGCCCCTATATTCCATGCGAGTGTAACTGGTAAAAAATAAATAACATAATAAACAAAAACAGTATCACTCGCATGAAATATGGTGAAGTGTATAATATGGTGAAGTGTATAATATGGTGAAGTGTATAATATGGTGAAGTGTATAATATGGTGAAGTGTATAATATGGTGAAGTGTACAATATGGTGAAGTGTATAATATGGTGAAGTGTATAATATGGTGAAGTGTATAATATGGTGAAGTGTACAATATGGTGAAGTGTATAATATGGTGAAGTGTGCAATATGGTGAAGTGTGCAATATGGTGAAGTGTATAATATGGTGAAGTGTATAATATGGTGAAGTGTATAATATGGTGAAGTGTATAATATGGTGAAGTGTATAATATGGTGAAGTGTATAATATGGTGAAGTGTACAATATGGTGAAGTGTATAATATGGTGAAGTGTATAATATGGTGAAGTGTACAATATGGTGAAGTGTATAATATGGTGAAGTGTATAATATGGTGAAGTGTGCAATATGGTGAAATTATATAATAATTGAAGTGTATAATATGGTGAAGTGTATAATATAATTGAGAAGTGTATAATAATATGGTGAAGTGTGCAATATAATTGAAATTAATATAATATAATTGAAGAGTGTATAATATGGTGAAGTGTATAATATGGTGAAGTGTATAATATGGTGAAGTGTACAATATGGTGAAGTGTATAATATGGTGAAGTGTACAATATGGTGAAGTGTATAATATGGTGAAGTGTGCAATATGGTGAAGTGTACAATATGGTGAAGTGTATAATATGGTGAAGTGTACAATATGGTGAAGTGTACAATATGGTGAAGTGTATAATATGGTGAAGTGTATAATATGGTGAAGTGTGCAATATGGTGAAGTGTGCAATATGGTGAAGTGTGCAATATGGTGAAGTGTATAATATGTTGGAAAAGTAAATACCTGTACCATAAAGAACTGGACGTGGATCCTAATGGACTGACATCTCTACAAACTGCTTCAATCATTTTACTTATTCCAAGACAGTAAGACATTGAATTACTATACATGAAAAATACCCCGCCGAAATCCCTTTGTTAACTGTCTTTTAGTGCATAAATATACTGTAATACTGTACATGTACTGTAATGCACTGCATATAAATGAACCTTACATTATTGGTTACAAAACAAAGGAGTCAAGTATAAAATATCATATATAGACCTAGAGAAGGAGTCAGAGGACGTGTACGATAATCCCACCAGAACACGTCCTTTAACCTTAAAACTTGAACCATTACTTAAAACAATGATGACATTTTTAAACACCTGAAAAGGTAAAATAAACATTTAATTAATCAACTATCTTTTCATAAAATTGGAAATCAAACTGTTCAACTAAACCTGGACTTCAATTAGTAGGTTTGAGAGTAAAGTTGGTCGAAAGGTGTACAACCACTATAACCTATCATGACTCACTGAGGTATCTTCTTCATCACAGACCTTTGCACTATGTTTAATCCAGTGCTAAAATGTAGTCCGGACTTCCAAAGCTGTGGGCGTACAGGTGTCTAAAGCTGTGGACGTACAGGTGTCTAAAGCTGTGGACGTACAGGTGTCTAAAGCTGTGGACGTACAGGTGTCTAAAGCTGTGGACGTACAGGTGTCTAAAGCTCTGGACGTACAGGTGTCTAAAGCTCTGGACGTACAGGTGTCTAAAGCTCTGGACGTACAGGTGTCTAAAGCTCTGGACGTACAGGTGTCTAAAGCTCTGGACGTACAGGTGTCTAGTAATTTAACATGCACACCTGTCCTACTGTGTAAATAGTTAAGTCAGTCCACTTGATTGACATAAATAATCTGCTTCACCTACCTCAAGGGTGAAAGGAACCCACAGCTTAATTTACTTTTAATAATACTGGAAGACCTGGTGGAGAATGGTGCTGTGTTGTACTCAAATGGTTGCACTGCTGTCAAATATCACCCACCTTATAAACAGCATAAACTCTATACTGTATTGTACCAAGGACTGTGTGGTAAAGGTAAGCACTGCTAACTTGCAAAGAATATATGAGTGCCTGGAACAGTTAGCATGAGGTACCTTAGTGCTGCAGAACACAGGCAATACAGTACAGTATTCTTTGAAACATGGCATTAGGCAAGAAAATGTAATCTTTGTCGTTTGATTCCCAACTCTTCATCTAGGGAAATCAAGTCAAGAAAAAATGCCCACAGTCCATCTCAGTGGACCTTCCAACTCTCAGGTTTCCAAAGCAGCCATCAAGTAGGACTGCTATATGTTTCATAACCTTGGTTTGACTGGGTAAAGTAGGTGTTTAGACCATTTATACTTATACCTTATAGAAAATGATGCCTCATACATCACAAACACTACAGTGAAACCTCCATTTAACAGACTTGTGTCTTCATACGATCCATTAGATTGGGGTTTCATATCTCATGGACCCTCGATATAACGGATTTTCCTCTCCACGTAGTCCCTTAAATAGAGGTTTTACTGTGGCTATCTAATACATATTTTGATCCTATCTGCACTGTTAAGAACTGACTCTCCAACCTTGAGTTCTGAGGCAAGATGGAAGAAAGTATCATCCACATTAGTGTTGTCCTTGGCCGAGACTTCCATCACTGTCATTATCTCCGGCACAGTCTCACACATAGCCTCAGCCTCTTCAAATTCAACTTCACGTAGGGTTTCCATATCACATTTATTTCCTGCAATATTAATAAAAATATCTGATAGGATCACATGAAAAAATGTCTAAGGTCACAGAAGCATATCTACTCACTACTGTACATACTACAGGCAGTTCACTGCCTACAGAGGTTCAGTTTATAACAACAACAACAAAATCTTGCCCCACAATTTGATTTACGAATGAAAATCCAAAGTTACAGATTTTCTCTTTCATCATTACAGTAATTTCTTCGTAAGTATCAATACAGTTATATTTACTACCAATATGCTTACCTTTATCACTAATTTATTCCATTATTATCTAACACTCACAAAATCTACAAAAGACCTTTCAATATATCATTAAACTCCTAAAATCAACATATAACTTACTCCTCAAACTGTTCCTTGACAAGAGACTACCCCACGGCCCTGATGTGACAGAATAACCTTCCCCCAAACACTGAAATAGATACTGTCCCAACACCTCTTGCCTGCCCTGAGCTTATACCAAAAACTTTGTGCCTCCCAGACACAAAATCACACTTCTCTACAGACTCAAAGTATTTAGGATTATGTATCTACTTTTACTTCAAAGCGAGGAACATCATCAAAAGGTGATCCAGAATGATTACTTACCAATTAGGACTATTGCCACTTGAGGGTGTGTGTATCTACGCACTTCATCCATCCATCTTTGAATACTCAAGAAGGATGATCGCTTGGTGATATCATACACTGCAGAGAAAATGTTTATAATTTATATTTACTAAGCAATACGTATGAATCTGATAAAACAAATGAATGTTATCATTGAAGCATAATGGAGAGTGTCACCCGGCCACATATAAACTACAGAGGTCCCTCGGTTAACAAACATAATTTGTTCCAGAAGGTCGTTCATTAACCGAAACCATTGTTTCAATAGGATTTTGGGTAATTGGTTCCAGCTCACCGAAAATTACATACAAACTAAAAATAAATGCAGTCCAGTACACTTACTTTGAGGTGTGCATGTAGAAGGCTCCTGGTTGATGATGATGATGGGAATTAGAAGTGGGGGTGGAGGAGAAGGGAGAAGAGAAGGCAGTGGGGTGGAAGAGAAGTCACCCCATGCTTCATGCCGCCATTTCACCCATAAAATTTTAAGTTCACTTGGTGCAATTCAAGATTATTTTCTTTAAATCAACACTGCACTGCACTATATATTGTCAATATGTAAAATAAATTTCAGAATGACCAATAATTGTACTGTAAAAATGTAAAAATAGTTTATGTTAAGAGAGTCTCAAGCAAGATGTTTCCTCCACTGACCAGACACAAACTGACGCCATTCTGGGTGAGTCAAGTGGCTGTTTGAGGCGCTAAAAACTAGTTCCCTGTACTTCAATTATGTTAAAAAATTGTTAAAATAACTAAAAATTTTAATGTAAGACTTGGAAAATTATTGAATAGTACAACCTTCTTGATATTTACTCAAATGGTAATGAATTTAAGCCCTAAAACCGATTACTGTATTGGCGGACTAATACTACAGCTGGTGAGCAGGCGAAAGCAGGCGAAAACATGTTGGGAAAAATTCGTAAGGAATTCCTTAACCGAATTTTTTTTGTTAACCGAATTTTTTTCATTAACCGAATTGAATATTCTTATGGAAGGTAATTTGTTAACCGAAATTTTGTTAACCGAGGCGTTTGTTAACCGAGGGATCACTGGATTTGTATTAATCTATGTGAAAACCCATTAAAAATTAGAGGAAAAGTTCAATATACAAACTTATGAAAAGAAATCTAGAAGCATTAATTTGTATACCTTCAAGATCACATTACTGTACATTGTATAACTGCATTTTCTATATACATACATGCTGAATAAATGTAAACTTACATTATGACTTAAGAATTAATATTTACTTATCTATCTCTCTCCTTGCTCATTAGCACAACATTCACTCATATTCAGTACTGTACATTTCACTTCAGAAGCCTACATAAATTTTCAAATTGTAATTGTGAATTCCTTCAAAGAGGAACTTGCAGGAAACTCGACAAGCAGCAATCAAGAAAGAGAAGCACTGCAGTAAGGTTCAGTAATACTGTTGTAATTCCAATACTGTACTTACATATGATGGAGTGAACTGTACATGTTACTGTAATCACACAACATGAAGGACCCATGTCTGTCTGTTTGTCTGCCGTCCACAATAAACAAACTTACCGATGATGACACCATTGGCAGATCGGTAGTAACTCTGGGTTATGGTGCGGAAGCGTTCTTGCCCGGCAGTGTCCCATATCTGGAGCTGAAAATAATTGGTACCACTGAACTATAAAGTATAAAAAAGACTTATCATGATACAGGAGGAAGGTGACTTGGAGCTAACTTGCCATACTGTACTAACAATCCCAAGACAAAGAGGTGTAATTCTCACAGCTGAGGAGTCAACATTATGGCATTTTACTTTTTACTCCAGTATCTTATCTATAATGTTTACCTAATCGAATAAATTTTTTTTTGTAAATTTGCTAATCATGATTTTCTAAACAGATTAATTAATAAAGTCTGTGAAAACATTGATAAATAATTCCTGCTCTCTTTATTATTCACTCATTTATTAACCCCTGTGTATGGTACAATAAACCTTCAAAGATCCGGACCCGGGAAATCCGGATTTTGGAAGATCCTGACAAAAATTGGGGGGTTCTGGGTAAAGAAGCCTCCTAAAAGTTTCCCTAAGAAGCATTCCCAAACCAAAGCAAAGAACATTTTAGAACCATGGGCACTGCTTGACCCGTCAGTTGCTAGACACAGGTGCTCGAGGAGGTGGGAAACATAAACAGAGTTGACAATTGTTGTTTGTGGGAATATTATTCCATTCACTCTAGTAATGATACAATGTTTCTTATTATGTTATCATAGGTAAATGCAAGGTTTATATGTGGTAATCTGTTTATCACTACATTAGTACTGTATTTTGGGTGTTTCTTATATCATTTATTATTCACTGGAAAATTCGGACAATCGGCTTTTCCGGACAGGTGGTCCCCCTTTTAGTCCGAATCTTCGAAGGATCACTGTACTCTGTTCTGTGTATAATTGTGTAGCATTAGTCAAATAAAAAATTAAAAGTAGCATCCCTGTAGTGAAGGGGTTAATTTCCTATCTTGTTTATATTGTACTGTTCTACCATCAGATCCCAGACTGACAACGAGTTCTCACTTAACCTCATCAGAGACAGCCTCACAGACTATATAAGGAGCACGCACTTCCAAGACAAAATCATCTTAGCTATAATAATTGGGCTGGAGGATTCATGAGACCCTTTCATTTAGGTTAGTTGAGAGGAAGAAAGGTCGTACTAATTGACACCTTGTTATGTAAAGGTGTTCTTATAAATAACCCATTAAACAGCTTGTTGATAGGAGAAAACCTCATTAGTAATGTTGAGGTAGGGAACGAACTTGCTAACAGCGATCACAAAGAAATAAAATTCCAATTAGAATTTAATGGCAGTCGCAAGGAAAATTACATTAAAGTTCCAGATTTCAGAAGGGCAAACTTTGATAGGTTGAAAAGGCAGCTGAGAGAAGGGGTATCATGTTTGGGGATGGATTACACGACCTCACGTGAGGTGACCTCACACAATGTACCCACAGAGGGCGACCTCACTTTACCTAGAGACCTGACAATGATATCCTCACAAAATATGATGGTTGAGGATGACCTGATCACAAGATCTGAGGTTGAAGAGCTCCACAGCAATTTAAATACAGTAATGAGTTACTTAATGCACAAAGGCAGAACATAGCATACAAAAAACTCAGATCAACCAACAATGATCCTAAATGGATAAATAATTATTTAAAGAATATTATTGGACAAAGGAAGGCTATAGGTAGGAGAATAAATTGTGGTGAGGTTTACTTGAGATTATTATAAGGCATTGGCCAGTAGGGTTAAGAACTGAGATAAGAAAAGCAAAGAGGAATAATGAACTGAACATAGCAAGGGAGGCGAAGTCAAACTCCAAGGGATTCTTTCAAATGTCTCAAACTAAAACACGAGAAAATATTGGACCAATACAGTCAGATACCGGCGAGCTAACTGATAATGACAGAGAAATGAGCAATAATCTGAATAAATATTTTTCAACAGTTTTCACCACCGAAAATTTAAACATAATATCCAAGGCAAATGTAATACCGATTTTCAAGAAGGGAGATAGATCACTATCCTCCAACTACCGTCCAATCAGTTTAACATCAATTGAAGGCAAATTACTGGAAGCAATAATTTCAAACTCTATTTGAAATCACCTGGAGAAGCACAAGTTGATCAATGATTCCCAACATGGCTTCACAAGTGGGTGCTCATGTCTAACTAATCTATTAACATTCTTTTCATCTGTTTTCGAATCAGTGGACGAGGGGCATGACTATGATGTGGTATATCTTGACATTAGCAAAGCCTTTGACAGAGTCCCCCACAAAAGACTAATAAGAAAAGTGGAGGCTCATGGCATTGAAGGAGATATTCTAAAATGGATTAGGGCGTGGTTACAGGACAGGAAACAGCGAGTCAGCATTAACGGCACTAAATCTGATTGAAGCAACGTCACTAGTGGAGTACCCCAAGGCTCAGTACTTGGACCATTATTATTTATTATATACATAAACGACATAGATATCGGCGTAGACAGCAACGTAAGTAAATTTGCTGATGACACTAAAGTAGGGCGTGTAATTAAATCTGACAAGGACTCCGTAAAACTACAGGAAGATGTAAAAAAACATTTTGAATGGTTTGAAAAATAGCAAATGAAATTCAATGTGGACAAATGTAAAGTACTTAGTCTAGGAGATGTAAATATAAAAACCAGATATCAGATGAACAACGATGTTAAAGAGAAATCCGAATGCGAGAAAGATTTAGGAGTAATGATAAGTAGGAATCTTAAACCAAGTAAACAATGTGTATTTGCTCGAAACAAGGCTAATAAAGTACTTGGGTTCATACAAAGGAGTGTTAGTTACAAGACTAGCGAGGTCATCTTAAAACTATATCAGGATTACGCAGTTCAATTCTGGTCACTGTAATAGAGAATGGATATAGAATCCCTAGAAAGAATTCAGAGTATGACAAAACTAATCCCAAGCATTAGGAACTTTGAGTACAGAGACAGGTTAAAGCATTTTAATGTGCACTCCCTCGAGAGACGTAGAGTGAGAGGCGATATGATAGAGGTGTATAAATGGAAGTCAGGGCTAAACAAAGGGGACATTACAAAGGTACTCAAACTATCCAACCATGAGCGAATTCGTAACAATAGTTTTAAATTAGACAAATTTAGATTAGGCGCAAAATAGGTAAACATTGGTTTGGAAATAGAGTAGTGGATGAATGGAACAAGTTACCAGACATCATCATTAACTCGAATATGCTGCATAGCTTCAAACATAGGTTGGATGGATATATGAGCAATAGGGGTTGGGTATAAATGGGATTGCCCAGAATGGGCCAATAGGCCCGCTGCAGTTTCCTCCATTCTTATGTTCTTATGAGTGAATATTTGAGAACATTTTACCTTACAATTAATACTTCACCTTGATGAATAAAACTACAGGTGCCTACACACTTTATATCACTACACTGTATTAAAATTCACAAACCTTTACAACACCAAGAACACCTGTAATTAAAGTACATATTATAAAGCCAGATTTACCTTTACTTTCTTGGCATCAATAGTGAGGGTTTTCATGGAGAAGTCGACACCAATTGTATTACCGTGGCGCTCAATATACATGCCAGACTTGAATCTCTGAACAACACACGTCTTCCCAACACCACAGTCACCTATCACCACAATTTTGAAAAGGAAGTCGAACTGGTCATCTGCTGCGTTATTTGTAGCGAAAGGTTGCGGTGACGACATCTTGGACTCCTGTGTTGTTTTTTCCCCAATTAAATGTTATCTATGGATGGAAAAAAGAAGATCTATTAACAAAATACAGCAAAAAAGTTTATTTTGGGGGTCCCACGGGGTATGTTCAACTGATGAAAAGTGTGGTACAGTAAATATGAAATTAAATATAAAATCCTATTATAACACAAGGACATTGTGATTAGCAGTATGAGGTAACTCTAAGTGTCGGTAATATATGCTCTCAGTGCCACTTGATGAGACAGGTATACTTTAGTAATGTAACATTATTATTATTGTTTCTGTCAAGCAGCGTATTTTAGTATTTTAAGTTATGTTATAGGTAATGTTTTAGAAAAACACCATTCTTTCTTCGGATATTAAAAATATGTTTTTCCTGTGGTATTGATAAGTTTTGAAATTTTTTTATATTCATTTTTTTTTAGTAAATCACATAAATAAAGTACCAACCAACCAACCAAACCAAACCTAACCTAACCAGGGTTGCATCTCTACCGTTTCTTACTGCTTGGCTGAAGAAAACTGTGGTGACACCGCCAAGTGTGTTGTTCTTCTCGCAGTGTACAGTACACTGATCATTACACCTTGGAAGTAACATTGTTCGGTAATACACCGTGTTTTCGAAAAAAAGAAATTGCCTCACTATTCTTCTGGTGAAATGCGGCAATTGCCATAAAATAATCTCCATCACAATGTCAGCACAGTTCTTCCACCTGTTTAGCCATATCTGGTACTGAAAATTCAATTCTCCGCTCCCGATGCACCCACGCATTGTTCATTGGCTAAGACAAAAAACTCTTGATCAATAATAAGTTTCCTATTGTTATAGCCAATAAGAAACTCCCACACCCCCTCCCCCCGCACATGTGCTGTAGACGCTTAAGAAGCGAGGACGGAGGTAACAAAGCACTGAGTGAAGGGGGTCAGAGCTTCTCTACGAGACGTAAACAAGACATGGCGACACTTGTGACTGACCAAATATAATAATATTGAAAAATTAATATATCGCTTATTCTTAATTTCCAGCGGAAATATCAGAGAAGAAAAATGTCTTAGAATTGTCTAAACATGACAAAATACATATTAATAACAGGGAGAGAAAGACCGGTGCTTTACTATAAATTCATCATGTTATGTTAGGTTAGGACAGAATGACCCATTAGGGTAGGTTAGGTTAAGTTAAGTTAGGGTGCTTAGTTCCTCGTAGCCTTCAACCTGATGATGAACAGACAAAAGCCATGTGCCATTACTGGATATTAACACCTTCATTACCTCATTCACAGTTATTTTTTCTCCTTTCACCAAGAATAGATTTGTATTTGATGAATGAAGTGAATTCCTCATACGAATACGCCAAAAATATCCCCAGATTAAGAGGTTCTACTTATTATACACTTCCATTCACGATATTCCTCACAAAATAAAGTATAAGATAAGAGCATAAACCCATCACACTTCTTAGTCCTAGTAAGAAGACCTTAATACTAAGTCTAAACCATAAACTTATAACAACGTAATTTCAATCAAATCTTCTCTCAATATATTTTACCTAATTAGTTATTATTATATTGCCATTATATAAGGCTTACAGACATGTCAGAGGTGTAGAAGGTGTGAAAAACTAATACTCGTACCGGGACACTCAACAGGTGGAGGCAGGTGACCACTAATGACAACTCGGGATAAAAACATCACAACGCGTTCACACTTAACCTAAATTACATCATAAATATATAACACATTATCTATACCACAAAAGAGAAAATTAACGAGTAGAAAATAAAATAAGGAAAATTTAATTATACTAAGTATTTTTTAAGTCTTATTTGATACTATTTCTTGCTTTTGTGAATTTCATGATGTCTACCTTTTTCCATTTTAATCTTTATATGCCTATATTATTGCTGTACCGTATAGATTTTTCTTAAGAGAGTGAATTTCTATAGTACTAACCACATAATTTTGTACTGTATTGTTGAGTTAAGGGACTCGCCAGCAATATAAAAAGCATCCTCTGATTTGCTGCAAAAGTGTTGCAGATCTCTTGAAGCTGAATATAGTGTATAGTGGATACTCTCCCCTTCAACTGCCGACTGATCACATGCCGTTCGCTTACCAGCCAATCAGCTTACAGGTAGTAGAAGTCTTAAGACTTGACTTAAATGCTAGTGACAGGGAGGAAGGGTAAAGGGTGAAGTGAATTTTAGAAGGAGAGAAAGGTGCTGGCTAATCTCAGCTTGCGTGGGGTGTTTTAAGTTGGAGGCAGCAGCAACTCGCCTGGACGCGGCGAGGAGGTGGCACGACAGAGTCAGGTGAGCGTCAGGTCAAGCGTCAGGTGCGTGATGGGTTAACATAAGAACATAAGAAAATAAGGAGTCTGCAATAGGCCGGTTGGCCTATGCATGGCAGCTCCTGTCGAGAGTTACTACCACTCTCTATCATCCATGAATCTATCCGGCCTCCTTTTGAAACTTTCCAGAGTTCCAGCACTTACTACAAAGTTGCTAAGCTTGTTCCACTCGTCCACCACCCTATTTGTGAACCAGTTTCTTCCTATCTCCCTCCTAAACCTAAACTTATCCAACTTGAATCCGTTGCTCCGAGTCCTATCCTGCTCGGATATTATAAGAACTTTATCTATATCCCCTTTATTGATTCCTTTCACCCATTTAAATACTTCTATCATATCTCCCCGCACTCTTCGTCTTTCTAGGGAATGCAAGTTAAGTTTCTTTAACCTATCCTGATATGGAAGGTTTCTAAGTCCCGGAATCATTTCTGTCATTCTTCGCTGCACCGACTCTAGTGAATTTATATCCATTCTATAATAGGGGCACCAGAACTGGACCACATAATCGAGGTGCAGCCTGACTAGCGCAAGATATAGTTGCAATAAGACATCTGCACTCTTGTTACTTACACTTCTAGATATAAAACCCAATACTCTGTTTGCCTTATTTCGAACATTAACGCACTGTTTTCTAGGCCGTAGGTCCGGGCTTACAAGTACCCCTAGGTCTCTTTCACAAGTCGACTTCTCTAGGTTGATGTTGTTAAGGCTGTATACATTATAAGTATTTGTTCTTCCAATATTAAGTACGCTGCACTTGCTGGTGTTGAATTTCATTTGCCATTTTTCAGACCACCCTGCAGTTTATTGATCTATGCATTGCATCTGCCTGAATTAATTTTGCCTTACACATTGTCATCCGCAAACTTGCTTATATATATACTTTGATCTACAGTATCCCTAAATCGTTAATATATGAATTATGAACAAAAATGGACCTAAATCTTTGGCCCTGGGAACCCCACCCTTTTACGTTTACAGCCCCATCAGTTAACACCATCTACGCTGACCCTCTGCGTTCTGTCAGTGAGCCGCAGTTTATCGAGAATTTGAGCTTTCACCTTGATACCACCAGGCCTGTAATTTTTCTCAAAGCCTCTGATGCAATACTCTGTCTCAAATGCTGAAATCTAAGTAAATAACATCGTAATTTTTACCAAGTCATTATCTACTACCTCGAAGAACTCTAAAAAAACGTTAGCAGATTGTTAGACAAAAGATTTCCCCTTTGTAAACCCCATGTTGAGTCTGTGGGTGTTGCTTTTCTCTGAATGCGATCGGATGCTACCTGCTATAGACCAGTTCAAGAAATTTCCCCACTACTGACGTCAAACTGATCAGCTATTAATTTTAGCCCTTCTGATGCTCTGTCTCCCTTACAGATATGGGTACCTACATTTTGCCTGTTTCCTAAAATCTGACTTTTAACTCAGTGTCTAATGATTTTTGTAAAATAGTTTACGAGGGTCGCTAATCTGTTCCTACACTCTTTCAAGACTCGAAATTTCCGGCCCTGGGATTTTTATTTTCTTCACAGTTTTATTTATCTTCTTAAAACGTCCTCTTTTCTGATAAAGCCAATGTTTCTTTGATTTCTCTTTCCTTTCCCGCTTTAAATATCAGTTCACCTCAGAATTCATCTCAATTCTTCTGTGAAAACCTTTGATAAATGGCTTTTCAATGCTTTGCTTATTTCTCCACTGCCATTTATCAAATTCTCACACCTCCCCTATTTCAAAAAAGGCCCAACGTGCTTGACCTTTTGTCCTATATGCCTGAAAAATCACTTAGGATTCTTGCTTGAATTCTCTTTGCTATTTTGATTTATAGTCTCTTTGCTTTCCTTACAATTTCTTAACATTCTAGATAGCGGATATTCATTATACCTGTTTTCTGAGCTGCTCCTCCTCGCTATTTCTTCTATATATTCCTTTTCTTTATTCCTATATGTCATGTTTAGTTTTCTTGGTCATCCTGTCTTTTGCTCATTCTTATTTGACTAATTTTCTGTATGGTATATATTTTTGTTCTTGTGCTTTATAACTTAGTATACTAGTGAATATATTCAGTATTCTTGATCAATTATTTGTGTCATCTATGACCTCACCCCCACTTCCTACTGAACTGGCTGACTGTTCCCAGAAACATTGACCTCCTACCTAGGTACACCTTCTTAACCCCTCTGTAATCTTTTGAATCAAAGTCTGGGACTCTGGCATAATGTGGTACATTTTTCGTTTCCCCAATTTGGGTGAACCTGATTTCTCTGTGATCACCTGTTACCTAGTTCTTCCCTACTGTGATATCTCTGATAATGTACCTTTATTTATTAATACTAGGTCTAATATATTTATCACCTCTAGTAGGTTCTGTAATTAGTTGTTTCAAAAGGTACTGTACTGCATCTAGAAGTCTTCAGATTTATAGTCTCGCCTACAATGTTGTCCCAGTCAATATTTCTGAAGTTAAAACCCCCATAAATGCATAGGGTTGTGTATTTTGCTGCCTACTCATTTCTATGGGCTGAGCTGCTTCTTTACTTAGACTTGGGGGCCTGTAAATCACTCCCCATAATAGTGGACCTTTCTCTTTCCTTGATTTCTACCCACAGACTCGGTGCCTATTTCTGCTAACCCAGATTATGGTTTCTCAGTGCTTGGTCGGCGATTGGGTGTGGGCTGTTTGGAGAAATATGCCCGGACGTCTTTCTGTCTTGGTATTCTTGTTAGCCAGTTCTGATTTTTCTTCCTTACTCTCTCTTCTCTTTCACTCTCTTGAAGTATCCATTCCATTCGTGTTTGGGTCTTGTCCTTCATCTTCCTCGTGTCTTAGAGTTTTTTCGTAGGTGTGGAAGAAGTCAGGCAGTGGAGTTGACCACGTGGGCGCTCTGCTCCTGGGGCCTTGTGGTGTTCTTCAGTTGTCTTAGTAGCTGAGTCTTTTCTTAGGTTTTTATTTCTTGATTTTTTCTTTTCCTTCTATAGTTTTTTGTCTTGGGGCTGTGTGCAACAAGAAACCTTTGCATCTGATTTCTTGTCAAGTCAGGCCTTGGCACTATCACTGCATTAGTCCTTCCCATTTTCAAGAAGAGTTCGATCAGCAGAATCATGGGCCGCACAGGCACGCATTTTTTACTTTAAGCGAAAGCAGAACAGTGTAGCGGTGTCCGGGCGCCGCACGACAGGTGACCACCTGCGCCTCCACCATGACAGTGTGACCGTAGCTACTGGCATTTGTAGCAGCTTTTTCGGTCTCAGTAAGGGCTGACCGGCACAGTTACCCGCAGTTGAGCCTCCTTAGTAGGGTTGCATGGTGTCCGATGAGGCAGTGGTGTCAGACAGCTCTTGACGACTTAAGTTGTCCTTGAGGAGCTCACTCAGCTCTGCCTTAGTCCACGCAGGCCCTAAGCGGAGTACCCCAGCTTCAGTTCTATCCCCTTGCTGGCAATCACATTTTTTATAGAATCCGTTGATGTCAACCCGCAGGATACCATTGGGCGCATACCCTTCTCGGCATGATCTATTGGTTTCAAAACTAGGAGGTTTAATTTCATCCACCCACGTTATCAACCCGCAACGTTCATGGTGAGGGTCAGGGTCCGTAGCACTAACCCCCAGCTACATCAAGACTAGTCTCAGCGTTGGGTCTGCTCTGGTTTCTGAACTTTAAAAAGCAGCTAATGAGTTCGCACCAGGCCTCTCCGCCGAACTTCACGGTGATTGGCCCCGTTTCACCTCACTTCCGATCCTGACCAACGGCAAAACACGCGTAGGCCTGCTACGAACCAAAACAACAACAACATCTAACAACATTCGCCAGCCAGCTCGCCGTGAACGGACCCTCTCCAGACCCTTCGCTGCCAAAGCCTGCCAGCCTGTCTCTAACCGTTGACGATCCGAACGCAAACGACCACCTCACCACCACATATCTACACACCCGGAAGCTCGTTCCAGACAACGCCCTTTCTAGCCTCCCCACTGATCAGGGCGACTCCTGATCAGAGGCAGCCCTGATTGGGAGTTCTGTAACTGCTTTCGCAGTGGACGGGAGTCGCGATCCCACGGTGTTACTTGCACCAGTGGCTGCTTCTCTTGATCTTCCTTCTTCGCTCTGGCCTGGGGACCTACACCAGAGGTCCTATCTTCAAGAAGGGCATCGGCACCCACGAACAACTATAGACCAGTGAGCCTCGACCAGCATAATATGAAAGGTACTTGAGAGTATTATTATCAGATGCCGCAAATGACATCTAATATGGAAACAATCTTGTGAAGGATTGCCAACACGGTTTTATGCCGGGGGCCTGCTTAACAATAATTGCTCTAAGGCATTGGATATTTCTGACCCATATTCT